AACTGAATTCGTATTAAATTTGAAGTCAAAGAACTTCTCAGCTGTGAGAGTATTGGAGAGCCCCTCTTGTTTTAGAACTAAGCATTCAAGTGATTTCATATCTTTTTTCATCGTCTTATATTCACTACAAGTCATAGCTAGATGAATATTTAGAGAATTTAGCAAGTAATCCCTACAAAAATATCCATCTTTGTTCCATTGATATTAATCCACAATTTCCAATGATAAATGCAAAATCATTTAATACATTATGTAATATTTCATGTTCTTCTATGCCAAATTGAACATGTAATTTCCAACCATAAAATTCAATAACATCAAATGATTTTATTTCATAATATCATAGGAACTATATTTAGGCATTTTAATCAGAGCTAAGAGTTAAAAAGAGTGCACCTTATAGATCTCTCAGACTTCGCAAATTAAAGCAAAGGCTCCAACTTTCGTCAAACTGCTCTGTAGACTTGGAATTTGACAAAACAGACCCCAAAAACATATCCAGAGTGCTCAAAAACCTTAAGATAGACTATCCCTCTTGCCAGAAACTCACCGGAACATTTTCTGATTTTTAAAATGTCTCCTGCATAATATTCCCCAGCTAACAGAATATTCCCTTGGAATATTCTTTTTCGCATAAAAGTGTACTAAAACTTCAAACGATCATATCTCTTTCGTCCGATCTCCGTTTAAAGCGAGTGACCACTCAAAACGATCGTATCTAAAGCCCATTAGGTTTCAGTTTCTGGAAATGGCCGAAATTTTTGAGATATGGACCGATAAGTTGCGGCTCCAGTTTCTTCAAACTCAGATCCCGAAAAATCCTTCCGCCGAATCGCGAAAGTGATTTAAAATATGAGTTCCACTCGATGAGATCTTCGAATAGACACCTTACTCGCTCAAATCTGACACACGAAGTTAATACTTCAAGATTGTTGGAGGTTACGAGGTTGAGAGAGAAATGTTTAGAGATGCTTGAAGTATTACACCAAGAGACATCAAGTTTGGAATGCTCAACAATGTTACCTCCAGCTTAGGAAACCCTAGATATAATGCAAGCTATTGAGCTCCCGCTCATATGGACCCAAATAAACATGCTTTCACCTATTGGGCTTATATGTGAACATACAATTGGATTATATTATTAATATACCCAACAATTAACTCATCAAAAAATGAACCAACCCGCTCAGTGTCAAAGTATGATATAAAACTTAGCTCGTCCCGCCCCATTTAACGAACAGAGCGAGTCGACCTATTAAGCCGGGCCTATTTTACTACCCTTCCTATATGTTATGCGACATAATTTTTTTTTCAAAGTGGCATGATGTCAAAGTAATTGTATGCTGTCAAAAGTATTATTTAGCATGTGGCACATCAATTGAGGCCGTAATACTCGACTCATTGATCATTGACTAAAGCGGTCAATGTTGCAGTCTTTTTCTGCATTTTTTGATACATCACAGAACAAAAATAAGTGAACAGTGTAGAGATTACAGTGCGACGTGTTAGATCAATTCATAGTTGATGTGAAGCGTGTACTTTTCGGACACATTGCCCTATAGTCTCTATGTTCAGCCTTTAAAATTTTAAAACGTTATTGAATTAAAAGTTTGTGTATCATGTTAGAAAAATTATAAATTTAAAAACTAAACAAATGATAATTGATCTATATAAGGATTAATATGAAATTAGCTAATTATTTAAAGAAAATTTAATTAATTCAATTTAAATTGCCGAATTCAACGGCTCATCACGATCCAATGAACACGGTCCAAATCAAACGCTAACTTCCCAGTACTGCTTTGGCCAATTTGTATTGAACTTTTTTATTAATTTGTATTGAACTTGAGATAACTGTTATTCTTGTATTTTAAAAATATATTAGATATTTATTTAATTTTTTAAAATATATAATAAATAACTTCTTTAAAATTTAAAATAATTAATGTCAAAATAATATAATTAATTACGGCTTAATATATATGTGAAAAATAGTACGATAACAGTTGTCTAAATAAATATCTAATATATTTTTAAAAGACAAGAATAACAGTTGTCTAAATTTCAATACAAAATAAAAAAAAAAGTTTAATACAAATTAGCCAAAGCAGTACTTGGAACTTGGAAGTTAGCATTTGGACCGTGTTCATTGGATCGTGATGAGTCGTTGAATTTGGTAATTTAAATTGAATTAATTAAAATTTGTTTAAATAATTAGTTAATCTCATATTTATCCTTATATAGATCAATTATCATTTGTTTAGTTTTTAGATTTATAATTTTTCTAACATAATACATAAACTTTTAATTCGATATTTAAAATTTTAAAGGATTTATACTGAAGTAAAGTAGCTCGACAATGTAAAAACTATAGTGTACCGGGTTAGAATAGTACATACTGCACAATACAATGACTATGGAATGGTCTAACACGTTGCACTATAATCTTTAGATTATTCAGCTACTTTAGTTCTCAGAAAAGCATGCAGAAAAAGACTGCAACGTTGATTGCTTTAGTCGCTGGTCAATAAGGCGAGTATTCTAGCCTCAATTGTCATGCCACGTGACTAGTGGCTAACCCACTTGCGGACATGAAAAAATTTTTTTTTTTTTTTTTTTGGTTGCAGGTTTTTATTTGTTTTTTGATTGAATATATATATTATGAGTAAATGTCATTTTAAGTCTCTAACAAAAAAATTTAATCCCCATTTTAGTCCATTATAAAAAAAATTAATCTCGAGTTCCGTAAAAAATTTAAAGTGGATCAATTTAGTTAAAATCATGGTCTCTCATAAATTCAAAAAAGACCTACATTAGTCCCTCAAAAAGACCAAAATGGATCCACTTTGAATTTCATAGGGACCAAGTGACTAATATTTTTTATAATGGACTAAAGTGGGGACCGAATTTTTTGTTAGAAACAAAAAATGATATTTATTCTTATATTAGTTAGAAACGTAGCAACGTACGGAGATGATTAAAACAACGTAGCAACACAAATTGATTAGAGAGAGAACTTATTCTTCCTCCCTTGTCACGTACTCATTCTCATGCTCTCTTCATCATTTGTTTCCTTTTTCATTTTTATAAAACAAGATTGATTGCAGGTCTAACATTCTCAAAATAGTTAATATCTAGAGACGAGACCTTCACTGTGATTTTGCCTGCATTCTGTATAGGTAGTGTTGACTTTTTTATTTACCACTATAAAATAGAATGATAATGTATGGATGTACTGGAGTATATTCTCATATTTGTTTGGGAAGATTGGTAAGATTTAGGGGGAAAAATAATTGGTCAAACTATTGTCTGCAACTTGTTACGGAAGCAACTAGATTATGAGCGGGTTCAAGCGTTGATTTAAACTTTCTTTACAAAAAAAAAATCCTGGGGCGCTGCCCCCCGAACCCCCGTCACTAAATGTGCGGACATAATTTTTTTTTCTAGGTCCGCCACTGCACGTAACCAACAATAATGTCTACATTATACAACGACTTTGGCCGTGTGGCATTTTAGTAAAAATTTTCAACTGTGTGGCATATATGTACATTTTATTAGAAAATGTGGCAGATAGGTCAATGTTCCCGGAGGGAGATGTATCCTTTCATACTAAAATTTTACATATTAAAATTTTTGTGTCTGTCTTAATACATGTAAAGAAGTAGACAAATACAAAAATTTCAAATGATCAGATTATGTGAATTTTTAACGTGAGAGGATTCACTCTCACGAAACAAGAAGATTTTGTGAGAGGGAATAAATGAGGAACAATTTACACAGACTTGAACAAAAGAATAAAGATAATATGATAACGGGTCAATACGAAATTAGATTTAATTTTTTTTCAAAATGCCAACAACTAATAGTTCAAGTAATAAGGAAGTTGTTATTTTATATGAATTGAAATTATTTTATACTGGTTTAAGATAAGAAGAATTTTATTCCATATACTCATTACTGCCATTTTTTCGGATTTAAGAATTATACAGTTTTTATGCAAGAAACACCTTAAGAATTATATAGTCTAGTTTTGCTACTCATGATTTAGTCTTAGACCGGTTAAGTGTTCAAAAAGCTCCTAATTAAGGTTTTTTTTTTTTTTTTTTTTTTTTTTATCTCTCTTCCTGTTTTGCTGTGCTCCGTGCCCTCCTTGTGTACAAAAAAAAAAAACCCCACCTTAATCCTTATCGTATCTATGTAAAGTTTTCTCTTAGTAGTGTTTGGTTCCAGAGAAATTTTTTTTACTAGATAAATGTAATTGATAGAAAAATGGTTGGAAAGTGAGTTTGGTAGGAAAATGTAAAAAAAGTTGTTTGGTTGACCCAAATATTACCAGAAAAATTTATTTAAATATACAAAATCTATGTTCGGGAGAAACTTTGCACCTGTTTTTTCACTTCCCCAGTTATCTCAAAATACCACATCTCAAGTGATATTCTGTAACAGTGAATTTCATCCAAAAATCAACACAAAAGTCATTTTCCCATCTATCCTATTTGCCTGGTATTTTTTTGAAAAAACCTGAACCAAACGTGATATTTTCTAATATCCACTTATACTTTTCCATCAATCCTAAAATAAACCTTCAACCAAACACTTTCTTACAGTGATGGTATAATTTCCTAAAAAATGAATCCACTTTTCTGAAACTATCTAATGTGGATAAGATTTTTTGAAAGCAAATGCATAAAAGTCTGGCCCCACATTTCTTCCATTATACTTATTTTTTTGTAATTAAAAATAAAAGTTCCATTTTTTAAGCTTGATGATGATTATAATTTTCACCAAACGCAAACTAAAATATGAAGAATTTAAATTTGTGAAAGAAACAAATTATAAAATGTGGCCAAATTATAATAATTAATGGAAGCAAAATTTAATTAAATTTTATCTCTACACTATTTGTAAACACTATACACTGACACCAAAACTGAACTGCATAAAGAAAAAATCTAACAATAAGTAAATACATGGTACCATAGAACTTGAGTTTTTGGAATTTAAACTCTAACAGGTGGCCTTTCTCCAGTGCCTGTTATGTCCAATACCTTCTCCTCATCATATGGTTCAGATGATTCTCCCATCCCTGGCTGCACCTCTGTTGTCCCAGTAGTACCTTTGCTGCTCATCAAATAACTGCTAGCAAAGAAATTGAAGTAGAAAAAATTCAAAGCTCCCAAGGCAGCAATGATATAATAGTAGTAGTCAAGCCTGTTCTGATTTAAATCATGACCCCCTAGCCATGGTTTTTTTCCTCTTTGCGATGTTGCTTTATGGACAATATTCACAATCAAGGAACCTGTGTAGTTTGCAATGGACAAGCTTAGAAAGAAGACTGCCCCAGCAACAGTCCTCATGCTCTCTGGCATTTGCAAGGTAAAGAATTCCATTATAGAAACAGCAGCAAAGGCTTCATTTAGACCTGATAGTGCAAACTGTGGCAAGAGCAACACAAAGCTCATGGGTGAAATAAATGAGTCAAATCTTAAAGCTAAGTCACGCCGCTTCTTCTCAACAACTGCTGCTACCAACATGCATAGGATGGATAACAAGATCCCAATTCTGATTCTTTGCCTTATGGTCAATCTTGTAGTCCTTTTTCTGGTTTTCCTTGCTAGAGGAATGTAGATGCACTCATAAATGTATATCCATAATGAAAGTGCTATCATTGATATCAGGTTCATCCACCCAGGTGGAATCTTGAAATGGGGTCCAATGGACCTTTTGGATTGTATAACTTGAAGGACCCCAAAAGTGTTCTGCTGATCCATAACAATGAAACCACAAATTCCTGTTACCCATACTGGCAGAATTCCTAGCAAGCATTTGAGGTGTTCCACTTGTTGCAAACTACAAAGTCTCCAAGCATTCCTTGGCATTCCTTGGTCATTCAATTCACTTGGATCAACTATTATAGCAGCCTTATCAAAGAATTTGAACCTATCTGTCTGAACAAGAAGATATGATTCCCCAAATGTAGGAGCAGGATTATAAAAGGTTCTCCCAGAAGCTTGTAGGTTGCGCTTTCTATAAGCTGCTACAATCACCTTGGCCATGTCTGAGAAGATGCTACCTCTAGGTTTCTTGCAAATGTAAGTATTGCGGCCAAGCAGGAAGATGCTTATTGAGAAAGCAAGACAAAGAGTTGGAATGGCAAACCCCAAGGTCCAGCTTACATTTGTTTGAACATAGACAACACCAGTGAGTGCTACAACAAGTGCAATTGTAAAAGTGAAGTACCACCAATTGAAGAAGCTCTCCAATTGTCCCCTACCCTTCTCTGTATTGGTGTCAAACTGATCAGCACCAAAAGCAATGTTGCAGGGTCTAATGCCCCCAGCGCCTATGGATAACAGTCCAAGACCTCCAAAGAGGACCCCTAGTTGCCATCCTTTTGGCTTTTCACAATAGGGTCGGTCCTTGCAGTTAAGAGGTCTCAATTGATGTATACCTGCTGTTAGGGTAATGGTCAATATACCCTGTCAAATAAATGCAATCCAAGCTGGTGAAACCCGTTGATAAGTTTTGAAACCTTGATGCAATGCTCAATCATAGTCCTAATATATATTATTAACCATACCCAAGCCAATTTAAGAGGGCAAGTCTGGAGCAGTAGTAAAATTGTATTTGTTTCTTAATACAGAAAACACCAACTTTGCAAATATGCAAGGGAAAGATTGCTTATTGCTCTCGCTCCTACTTTCGTTAGTCGAGGTCTAATGGAAGTTGATTTTTCAAACCAGCCAATATAAATTAAAAGACCTGTTGATAAGTTTTGATATTAGTTACAGTTTCTATCAAGTTAGCTATGATCAGTCACAACTTCAAATTTTTAGTTAATGAGTCAGCACTCAAAGTGTATCTACACCTGTATAAATACTCCATCAGTTTCAATACATATTGATAGGTACATTTGGTCATTCTTAGGTTATATTGCTGGAAAGTGGAAATATATAGGATGGACAAAATGACAGTAAAATCATAAGTGCATTGCAAGCAAGACAGGAACATGCAAATTAGCACTTAGATGTTAATTTTCTTACCAGAAGCGATGCAATAGAGCCATAGAAGAGGGTGCGGAATCTGCCCAGATAAGTATCAGAGATAAAAGCACCAATTATTGATGCAATGTTGGAGGATCCATTCCAAAGTTGTACCACATTAACCACGAATATGCCACTCAGGTTGTATTCCGTTAGCAGGTACACTGTTAGATTTGATATCAAACTCATGGATGCCAATTTCTCGAACGACTCGTTACCTTAAAAGAAATCAACGATGTGCATTTAAACTCGTGGAAATTAATGATGTTCGTTAGTTAGAAAATTGAGTACTGTTAAATTGTAAAAGTTACCGATGATATATCTGACGGATCTCCATCCTCCTGTTTCTGTTGTTGAAGAAGCAGAAGGAGATGGTGGTGAAGGTATTTGGTCATGTTCTAGCTCGAGCACAGAAGGAGAGTTAGTGTTCACATTCTCCATTTTTAAGGTTTTTTTTAACTTCGTACAAATAGAGTCTAATTTTATGGATTATTATGTTTTGATATGACCATTTTTTTTTTGTTATTACTAATGTCCTATCCTATGGCTGATTCTTTCAAAGCGGTCAGGAATTTGAGAATTTTTAGGTAGCACGCGTGATTCGGTATGTAATTTGCATCAGATGGAGGTGATTGTGTTTGCATGCAGGAGATAACTAGATTTGGTATAAGGATTCCACGTGCCTTTAATGTCTTTTATTGTTATTTTATTGGAAAAAATTAATCTTATATGTTGGAGGAGATTCTAATCTCATATCATAGATATATTATGTATGAGACTCATCTATTAAAAAAAAGAAAAATTTGTTTATCCTTTTAAATGACACAACTTATATCATCACACTCTCACAAAGAGGTGGGATCCACACTTTTATTTTTTTTGTCAACTCTTTCTCTTTCTTTATCTATCTCTTTCTTTCTCTTAAAATAACACAACTTTATATCCTTTAAAATGACACACACTTTACCCTAAAAAAATGAAAAAAATAAATGACACGTCTTTTTATGACGTGTGTAGAAAGAATTTATTTTTTCGTGCAACATGAGAAAAACAAACTGTTGTTTTATTTTGGCACGCGATAAAAGCTTGATATTTTATTTTAGTCGTCAAACTCCAATCTTTCAGTTTAGAATTTTGATACGTGTCATCCTAATTTTACGAACAATCATATCGCTCTCCTTACTCATTTTGTCATAAGCCACTACATGAGCTAGCAACATGTAACCATGAGCTAAAAGATAGAAGATTTTTAAGGATCTTTTAGATACTGATGCTAGAGGTACGTCTAGTTTGATAGTTATTGAGTTGTAATTTTCTTTTGTTTTGTTGGGGCGTGGCCCTTCCAAAATTACAAAAGTAAAAAATAAAAGTAGAAGAAACTTTGTATAGTAAACCAAAACTTGAAGTTAGTAAGAGTCCGTTTAAAAAAAAAAAAACATTTTTTATGTTTTGCTTATTTTAAAAGTGTTTTTTTTTATAAAAGTTAAATTAAAAAAAAAATTGACTTTTAACTTTTGTTTTTTAGAAGTTATAATTTTAAACTTAAAAAAAAGTGTACGTTTTTAACTTTTTTTTGTTACTTCTGCATTTTTTTAAATCAGAAATTCAAACAAATTTATAATGAAAAGTGTTTTTTTTTTAAAAAAAATAATTTTTGAAGAAAAAAAACTCATCCAAACATAAGCCTACTTTTTTCAATTTTAAGTAAAAAATAATAAATAACCATAGATTTACACGATCTCGTGAAACGTACTATTCGAAATTGAAATATGACCTATTTATAAAACATAAAAAATGTTAGGTAAATTTTCAAGGAAAAGTGTTGGTGATTTTAAAAGATATAAATTTATATTATTTTAAGTAAAATTATAGTGTTTTGATACGTACTTATAGGCTATTTGGTTTATTTTCTTAAGCAAAAATTAAAAAAAAAGAGCTTAAAAAAAATAAAAGTTAAAAACTGTTTGATGATCGTGTAAAGTTGTTTTTTTTTTAATATTACGTAAAGTTGTTTTTAGGGTTTTGAAAGAAGGGAGATAAAATGATTTATTTTTAGGGTAAACAGGAAAATGTTATACTTACTACTTTTTTTCTTAATATCTATAACTATTAAATCTTAATTATTGATTTTCATCAATTTAACAGTTATAATTTATTGAAAATTAATAATTAATTAATAAGTGTGATCTAATAAATTAACGAAAATTAATAATTAAGATTTGATAATAAGAAAAAAAGAATAAATATAACCTCCCCGGGAAAAATGATAACATTTATAAATAAAAGTATAGAATAAGGGTATAATTGAAAAAAATATGAAAGTTTTAAAAGATTGACATATATCTCAAAAAAACTTTTCCTAGGAGCTTTTAATTTTAATTTTAATTTTATAAAAAAAAGCTTTTTTATAATAAGAATTTTCGTAAAATTATGTTTAACTAAACTTTTGATTATAAGAAAAAGAAAAACTAAAAATAAGAGCTCCCAAAATATTTTCTCAGAGAGAACGTGAAAAATCACCCAAACACAATAAATCTATTTAAAATGACAAAAATTTTGAGACGTTTAAAATCAAAATGTAACGCCCGGCTGCTTCAAGAAACAACGACTATCTTCACATACTAATACAAGACTTTTCAGTGTGTTTTTTCCTCACTCGCACACTTCCCGAGAAAACTTTTCAGGAGGTCACTATCCCAGAATTGCTCCAAGTCAAGCACGCTTAATTATGGAGTTCTTTCGTTCCGGGCTACCGAAAAAAAGATGCATCTTGTTAGTATAAGTAGTACCAATTAATTCTTATAAGCTATTCCCAACTGTACCGTCCCATACCAGTACAGTCTCTGGAATCCCTCTCTTACGGTTGTTGATTCGATTCATCCATGTACCCCCGTCCCTAGAAGCCTGCCAGGAGCCGCTCCTTGTTTGTGGCCTTTCGCACCGGCGATCACTCCCTGCCCTCGTCAGCGCCCGAGATGTTACATGCCCACCAGCTTCCGCTTGGTTCTTTCTCGAACCACACCGTATTGGAAAAGAGGCCTTGCTCTGATACCACTTGTAACGACCGGCTGCTTTAAGAATCAACGACTATCCCCACATACTAACACGAGACTTTTCAGTGTGTTTTTTCCTCATTCGCACACTTCCTGGGAAAACTTCCTAGGAGGTCACCCATCCCAGAATTGCTCCAAGTCAAGCACGTTTAACTATGAAGTTCTTCCGTTTCGGGCTACCGAAAAGAAGATGCATCTTGTTAGTATATGTAGTACCAATTAATTCTTATAAGTTATTTCCAACTGTACCGTCTCATACCAGCACAGTCTCTGAGATCCCTCTCTTTCGGGTGTTGATTCGATTTATTCATGTACCCCGTCCCTAGAAGCCTGTCAAGAGCCGCTTCTTGTTTGTGCCCTTTCGCATCATGCCCTTTCGCACCGGCGATCACTCTCCGCCCTCGCCAGCGCCCAGGATGTTACACAAAATTATTTTTTTCAATTTTAAAATATAAAAAAATTGTGTAACTGTAACGAATGAAGCGGAGATTGAAGTAATTTATTCTTGTAATTATTATTCTCCCACTGCATGTATAATCCACAATTTGATATTTTTGCTTCGAATGTACCAATTCAAAAGAAGCGGGTAGAAAAGCGAATTTGATATTTTTGCTTGGAATGTATGGCCGGTCTAGTATATTTTTTTATTTTTATTTTATATTTTTTATACTACTTGTAATAGTTTTTTTTTTTTTTTTTAATTTATTTCATTCTATTTCACTGGTTAAACAGAATTTTTGAATGATTTTGTTCTATATTATGTTGTTTGGATATACCTTGAATTTATGAATATTTATAGTATTGTTAGTGTTGTTAATTATATATTCTGTTTGGATAAATTTTTATTGTCTTATTTTTTAAAACAGACTAACAAGCTAAACCAGGCTTTTATTTTTTGTAAACAAGCCATGTCACAAACCAATATTATATTTATAACAGGTAACATGCATGGTCAGGCTGACACATATAAAACACATGCTTAACCTTTTAAGAGAAAAACTCGACTCGGCCCGTTAACACTCTTAGTTGCACGTACCAATTTGATATTTGTTTCAAATTTTTTTTTTAGTTTAAAGAAAAAAAAGAAGCGGGTAGAAAAACGAAAATAGAAAAACCATTAGTCCCGCCATGAATCAATCAATGTACTAATGCTGCAGTACTGCTTTATATTATTAAATATCCCTCATATGGTTCCTCTAAATATGTGTCTGGCGTATATCAGACATGCACGATGTTATTTACTACGCGCTAGTGTGACCAAATCTGCTACTCTCCTTCTCCATTGGTCACGTGGCATTCAAAATATCTTCTCATTGGTTCTTCTTACGTATTACATTATGAGAAGAATTGCAGGCGAGTATTCTTCTACGCGTAGACGAGAGAGTGGCAAAAAAGGTTCCTTTTTTGAATTGCTCTCTGAACAACGGCTACTTCACACTACATCACTTTTCATACCAACTTTCAAAATATTTGTCTTTTTTCAACTTTTCATGGAATATTGGAGTAAAATGAAAGCACTCTTTTTCTTTTTATTCATGCTTCAAATTATTATTATTATTTTCTAGTTCAAACTTCAAAGTTAAAATCATGGTAACCCTTTTGGGTCTACACTTTCATCACACTCCCAAACCCCACTTTACCCACTGCCACTGTAATCATCACTTAAACACTCACTCCCCTCTCAGTGTGTGCACCCATTGACTGGTTTCATTTCCACCCATAGAACTTCAAAGTTCAAAACTTTATTCAGCACCCATTTTGGAGACTGGAAAATGGAAATGGGTACTGTAGTGTTGTTGTGGGTTTTCTTGGGGATTTTGACTACAGTTTTCTGCCCTTCTTCTCTTGCTCTCACTCAGGATGGTAAGAACTATGAACCCCTTTTTCTTTCTCTGTTTCAAATCGATCCTCTCATATATTATAATGAGTTTTTTTTTTTTTTTTTTTTTCATCTGTTTTGTTTTTGTGTTTTTTTATCTGGGCAGAATAATTGCTTTTAGGGTAGCTTTCAAGTTTCACCTTTCACTCCCCATTTTGGGATTTTTTTTTTCTTCAAATCTTGCTTAAATGCTTCTCCATAATAAAATGGAAGTTTATTTAAAGCTTTAAACTTGAAGGCATTTTTACTCATATGTTAGGTCTGACGTTGTTGGAAATCAAAAGCTCTTTGAATGACACTAAGAATGTTCTGAGCAACTGGCAAGAGTATGATGAGTCTCCTTGTGCATGGGTTGGGATCTCTTGTCATCCTGGTGAACAAAAAGTTCGCTCAATGTATGCAAACAGCACATGCTCTTCATTCTATTACCTTTTCTCACTTTTTCAGCTGAGTATGACACCTGTATTTGTCTTGTGTTCTTCAGAAATCTGCCATACATGCAACTTGGAGGAATTATATCTCCTAGCATTGGTAAACTCAGTAGATTACAGAGACTGTGAGTATAACATATTCCTCCCAGCATTGGTAAACTCATATCTCTGACTTTTGTCATTCTTATTCTATTCAATGGCTTGCATTGAATCAGGGCACTTCATCAGAATGGCTTGCATGGAATCATTCCTAATGAAATTACCAATTGTTCTGAGCTAAGAGCACTGTAAGTGAAATAGTTCACTCCTTTACTAGAAATTTGCCATGTCTATTCCTAAATAGTTCATTCCCTTTATATGATTCTGAATGGCTTGCACATTTCATCTGATCCTGTTGAAAGGTACCTGAGGGCTAATTATTTCCAAGGAGGCATACCAGCGGATATTGGAAACCTTTCATTTTTAAATATACTGTAAGTCCCTCTCTCTTGTTTTTTCACTATTCCCATTTTAATGCTTTGAACTGGTTTCTAGCTTTTTTATGGTTATGGACCTATCTGTGCTCAGATTTCAGTTAAACTGAAATAGCATTTGTTTTTCAACTGCGTGGTCAATTTTCAATTAGGATTTTAATACTAAGTTTATATATAGGGATTTATCAAGCAACTCTTTAAAAGGTGCTATACCTTCCTCCATTGGCCGTCTCTCGCATTTGCAAGTTCTGTAAGTAAATCTAGCCTCAGCTCTGTGAGATAATGATATTGATAACTTTAACTTTCAGTTTATGCTGATCCTCCTTGTCTTAGGAACTTGTCTACCAATTTCTTCTCTGGTGAAATCCCCGACATTGGAGTATTAAGCACCTTTGAGAAGAACTCGTATGTACTCTTGCTTTATCAAGCCTTGTAGTTTAGCTGATACATTGTAGCCTTTAAGAGATTTTGTAATAATAATTATTTTAACAGTGCATGCTCTATAATAGACAGGCTAAATTTATAGTAGCTGTGCTTTTTATCCATTAGAGTCAAATAACAGCGCATGTTTTATTGTAAATTATTTGAATGCTCGAATTTGTGGAGCAAATATTCAAGTTGGTTTCTCCTATTTGGTTTCTCATATTTGATTTCTGAATAAGCTAAATTTTATAATTCATACCTGTAAGGATATTGAAAATACTACATTTTATGGTTTTCAAGTTTCTTGACTCTTAGAGTTAGTTCTTGTGATTGCAGACAGAAAGCATTTGCTCTGATTGAATTAGGGACAATGATAACTCACTTTTCATCAGCACTACACTAATTCCTGTTATCATGTTAATGTACTTGTTCCATGCACTATAAGGGGCAAGTTGGTTTCTTTGTCTTTTTTGTACTTATATTACAAATTCGTTGCATATGAATAGGTTTATTGGCAATTTAGATCTTTGCGGGCGGCAAGTCCAAAAGCCATGTCGGACATCACTTGGTTTCCCTGTGGTGCTACCGCATGCTGAAAGTGATGAAGCTGCAGGCAAGTCAGATCTGTGGATTTGATTTCCAAATACTATCTTACTTGATTTTTAACTGATTTACATATTGAACAATCATGGTTCACATTTGTATAACTGAACATTTAAATATATGCAGTCCCTACCAAAAGATCTTCACATTACATGAAGGGGGTAATAATTGGTGCAATGGCAACTCTGGCCCTTGCACTTGTTGTAATCCTTTCATTCCTCTGGATTCGTTTGCTATCAAAGAAGGAAAGAGTTGCTAGGAAATACACAGAAGTCAAGAAACAAGTAGATCCAGAAGCAAGTAAGAAGGGGGTGGTGTTTCAAATTTGACAATCTCCTATTGAGCGACAAAAGAAAAAAAAAGTAACAATATTCTCTCTTTATAAATGATAACCTACTCTTTTAACAGGCACAAAACTTATTACCTTCCATGGTGATCTACCATACACATCTTCTGAGATCATAGAAAAGCTAGAGTCTCTCGATGAAGAGGATGTAGTAGGATCAGGAGGATTTGGCACTGTTTATAGAATGGTGATGAATGATTGTGGTACATTTGCTGTTAAGCGGATTGACCGCAGTCGTGAAGGGTCTGATCAAGTTTTTGAAAGGGAACTAGAGATTTTGGGGAGCATCAAGCACATAAATTTAGTAAACCTGCGTGGTTACTGCAGGCTCCCTTCTTCAAGGCTCCTTATCTATGATTATTTGGCCATGGGAAGCATAGATGATCTCTTGCATGGTATGCTTCATTTTATGCACTGAACTATGTATAACTGTTTTCTTTAAGTATCTTTGATAAATGAGAATTTTTTTTGAAGGCTTGCACGAGAATGCAAAATTTAGGTGGGAAATATAAGCTATCCTTTAGGTGGTGTACTCTCAAGCCAGTAAACTTTATGATCTCATTGCACGTCTTTCAAATGCTTGATGCTGAAATCTTGGCAGCATAAACAATAGCAAATTTGATAGGAGTAGCACTTACATTAAGTCTTAGGAGTAACATAAATGTTTTGAAGTTGCTGTATCATTAATCAGCTAGGAGAAGGGCGTGGGAGGTTTGCATCTATTATATTTTCATCATTGCACAATTCACTAATATTCATCAATCCTTTTTTCATCAGAAAATAGTGATCGACAATTACTGAATTGGACTGATCGTCTAAAGATAGCCCTTGGTTCTGCCCGGGGTTTAGCATACTTGCACCATGAATGCTGCCCAAAAATTGTGCATCGTGACATAAAATCAAGCAACATCCTCCTTGATGAAAACATGGAGCCTCATATCTCTGATTTTGGTCTTGCAAAGCTTTTAGTTGATGAAGATGCCCATGTTACGACAGTGGTTGCTGGCACTTTTGGCTATTTGGCACCAGGTATGTATTTAGTAGTTGGATATTAATTAGCAGGTGACCTGGTTACCCTTCCTTTTGGGTGTAAAGTCACCGTATCACATTAATTAGTAGTTGGATATTACTTTTGGCTATTCACCTTTATAAAACCCTTATTTATATTATAACTAGGTAGTTTAGCATCTCTTTATTCCGGAATTGGGTGTGGCCTTGCTTTGGAATGTGATATGCATCATCTTGTCTAAATATAAATAAATATCATTTTTTTGGCTAAGTAGGGGCTCTTTTCTAGTGATGAACGTATATAAGAGATGATTCTATGATTGATGGTATATTATTTATATGTCAACCAGAGTATCTACAAAGTGGGAGAGCCACTGAGAAGGCAGATGTATATAGCTTTGGAGTTCTATTGCTGGAACTAATAACTGGAAAGAGGCCAACAGATCCTTCCTTTGTAAAGAGAGGTTTAAATGTTGTTGGTTGGGTAAGCTTTTAACTCATTGAATGAACATCTCTAGGATATAAGAATTATTTTTCAAACACAATGTACTTAACTTTTTGTGTAACTATTTGCAGATGAACACATTACTAAGTGAAAACAGATTGGAAGACGTGGTAGATAATAGATGCACAGATGCAGATGCAGGAACTCTTGAAGTAATTCTAGAGCTAGCAGCAAGATGCACAGATGCAAATGCAGATGATCGTCCATCAATGAACGAGGTATTACAATTGTTGGAACAAGAAGTTATGTCCCCATGCCCAAGTGAGTTTTATGAGTCTCATTCGGATCACTGTTAATGACTCAAGTATTGCTACTGCACGTTATGAAAATGGATATTGATGGTCTCTTCTACTTCCTAACATTGTTTTAGTCAGTGTTCCTGCCCCTTTCTGTGGCTTTGTAGATTATTTTTGTAGCAACTATGTAACAAACCCTTGTGAATATATTTACCCTTGGACATTGTTGTGGTTTTGATTTTTGGAATGACCTTCATTCTTGCTATGAAATGTCATCATTTTCTTATTAAGAATTATTTGTTCTATATATTAGGTTTCCTTCAACGTGAGTTTATTGGTTATGGTTACATTGCACGAACAATTTTGTGTGGCACTATTAATGAACATCGAGCCAGAATAGTTTCATGTACTTTATGGTGCTCCAAAGTACCACTATATTCTCTCGTTTATAAAGAAAAGATATCCAAAGTTTTCTCTAATTTCTGGTGTGCGATTTTCCTCCATTTTTTTAATGATTCGCTTGAGAAATTAATGCAATGAAACTAAACAAAATGAAACTGTTAATCAAGATAGGTGAGGCATAGTTCCTAAACATAAAGCCCTTTGCCTATCATTGTACGCAGTAATAAAGCCAAATAATTGTGAGATGGGAAGAGGAATTTAAAATTTACACTAATTTAAAAAGGATAACAAGTAAGGGGCAGATTATATTTACAAACTTTTTTGTTTATAAACTATACTAAGTACAATCGGTCATACTTTAATCATGCAGTGTACGATCGGTCGCACGTAGTATAATTTGTAAAAAAAGTTTGTAAACGGATCATATTCCAACAAGTAATGGGTGTATATATAATCAGGGAAAAATATTTCTGCAATTAATGAAGATAAGTTATCTGCATTTATTCCCAAAACGACGTCGTTTTGGTATTGAAATTTTAAAAAATTATAAATAAAAAGACTATTATAACCCTAAAATAAATTTAAATTACAAAAACACCATGATTTCCGTCCCAAAATGACGTCATATTAGGCTTACTGCAGATAATTTATTTGCAGTAACTGTAAAAAAACGAACTCATATAATCATATATATTTTTTTTGTATATATGGAATAATAAGGATGAAAAATTATGTTATATTATTTTTTTAAAAAAATCTGAATATACTGAGAGAACCTAAGATTTTATTGCTAGTATTTGTTTTTATTTTTTATTTTTTGTAATCTAAGTCATGATTTGAGAAAATTGGTCCCATTCCACAAAATGAGTGGTGGTGTGAGTACTAGTCGTGGATAAGATGTCTTTTGTTGTATTCTTTGAACGGTAGGTGAGAGCTGTAATTTAGAAAAATAGAAAGTTAAGATCATAAAAGTAAAATTTAACAAATTCATGACTTATGTTATTTTCTATCTCAATCCTAAAAATTTAATGCAACTTGCAAGAGTATTATAGTATTTTCCTATTTTTTAAATGAAAGAGAAGGCCACCTCCCTTTTAGTTTTGTTGCTCTTATTAGAGTGACCTTTGGGCCTCTTCAAAAGCTCATTCCTGTTTCAACTCTCAACGGTCGTTTCTTTACCTCTTGACTTTGTCATAAATTCCTCTCGTACGTTACTTTGAGAATTAAGATATCAATCAAAGATTCAAGAGTTTGAGATATGAACCAAATGTCATCTCGAATTGGTATTGGAATTGTTTGTGGTGGTAATAGTGGCACCAACTATATGGTACCATTATCATTATCATTACCATCATCTTCATTTTCTTCTCTTGCTTCCTTGCCTTTCAACAGCTTCATCAAAGGGAATGGACTTGTTTTGCATAATTGGACACCTAGTAATCATAACAATGGCTATGAACGAAGGAAAGGACATGGGATTGTGGCATCAAGCGACGTTGCTTCACCATCCACCTGGGATGATTGGAAACCTCCCAAAGCCTCTTCCACTCCTTCCCTCAGCGATATTCTCTGGCCCTCTGTAGGTTGGTTTATTTTCTATTTATTACTCTTTTGAATTAGGCTATTACAATTCATTATTTTCTAAGTAGGATCTTCCTAATTATAGTAAATAGATTAGGCATAACATAACATGAATGAATAGTATATATTAAAATCTGATGAGTTTTAAATGTTTTTCCTTTCTAAAAAATAAAAACAACAGGGGCATTTGCAGCAATGGCACTATTGGGAAAGTTGGATCAATTATTGGCACCAAAAGGACTCTCAATTTCAATTGCACCGTTAGGGGCTGTTTGTGCTCTCCTCTTTACCACACCATCTGCCCCTGCTGCTCGGGTACTACTTCTATTTAGGCATTAATAAGATAAACAATTTAAATAAGTCACTATCATACATGCTATTCTGGATAGCCCACATGCTTAGACCCACTACTGGGTCCAATCTAAAAGGTCCACTTCTAGAAAGTATCATAGGATGCCCCCTCATTCCCATGCACCTTGCTGCACACTGGCAGGGGTTCAGCATGCCTAGCCTTTTCAGGCTAGGCTGGCTAGGTTGACCAGACTTCAACTTTAAATACCCCCTCTCACATTGAGGAAGAGACCTCTTCTCCTCCATTCAGCTTCATGCGCTGCTACCATGGAGAGCAATCCTAGCCACTCTCACACACCCTCTTTATGCACATACATGGGAAGCTTCACTAGTGCTTTGGTCTCTACCACTGTCACTATGGAGACCCTCTATATCTGTTGGAAATCGATAATCACAAAGAATCGAGAAAACAGAAAAAGAGATAAGAGTAGAGAGATTAGACACAGCGATTTACCTTGGTTCACCCAATATAGGCTACGTTCACAACAGTATAATTAGGATTACAAAACCCTAACAGCAGTTATTCATGGGCCCAAGCCCAAACTGCTAAGAAAATTACAATAAAACAGAGGCCCACAACAGTATGCCTTTCTGCTGACCCCGATAATTAGGGCCTTCATCAGCATGCGAAGTATGAGCCATACCCAACAATATCAATATACTTCACCCTCCATGGGACACATCTATGTACCACCATGAGTACATATGCATTGTCTAAATTCAAGTTTGTTAAATACATATGGACAAATGCTTTTTGTTTTCACTTTTCAGCTATCATAACAATTTATCAGACTCTTATTATGGTAGACTGAAAATAAAATCACCCAAACAACACTCTTACTTTGCCATGCATATTTGTGTGCATCCCACTGCTCTCTCATTGCCTTAATGCTTACAATAGAACTAAATGACCCACATGTGGTTATGCAGAATTATAGTATGTTCATGGCCCAAATAGGTTGTGCAGCCATTGGTGTTTTGGCATTCACAATATTTGGACCTGGATGGCTGGCCAAGTGTGCTAGTGTATCAGCCTGTGTTGCTTATATGATTTACACAAGCAGCATTCATCCCCCAGGTATTTTTGTTTCAATGTTACATTGTTGTTGATTGAATCAAGTATCAAGAAAATTTGCTACTTATGTTATTGCAATAAATATATGCAGCCGCAGCTTTGCCATTGCTTTTCATTGATGGTGTTAAGTTGCATCACTTGAATTTCTGGTTTGCTTTGTTTCCTGGTGCTGCAGGATGCATTCTGCTCAGTTTGATGGTAAGTAATCTATTGTACTTATACCATCCATGTCTCCCAAAATGAGTTATTCATTGCAAGTTTACCAATTTGAAGACATGAATGGTTTGTTCAGAAAGAGGTGGTTGTTTACTTGAAGAACAATTTCAAATTTTGATACTTGCTCTGCACAACCGAAATGGATTGATACAACTCCCCTAAGGTGGCCAGAGACTATCCTTTCCATCTCTTGTAAATTAATTTACTGAAGGGCCCAGAAGAAGAAGATTCTTTGATCAGAATTCAGAACTGTAAGTAGTGAGCATCCCCCAACCTTAAAATAAAAGACTGTCCTAGATTTTGTAAAGAGTATCTATCGTATCAACCATTTCAACCTAAAAATTTAAATTATTAGGTAAAGGTCAATTAATGGTTTTAATATTTTATATTATATTTTTCTAATACTCTCCTTCATATAAGAGCTTAATGAGCTTGAAAGGTGAACAATATATCATGTCTTACCTACTTGTATTAAGAAAGTCCACTATATGTTAATTCTATTTATTAATAAAATGGGAGCCGGTGATGATCGACTTAATTACAGAGGCTTTAATATTATGTAAAGATTTATTTCAACCTAAAAATATTAGGTGAAGGCCAATTAAAGATATGGTTAACGACGTTAATACCATGTAATCCATTATCATCTTCACAAGGGGTGACATCCTCACGGGCTTCGTAATATAACCCACATCCGAACTGGTCCATAGCCCAACAATCGAAGAGAAAAAAAAAATCTTGAATACCCTTAAATTACCTTGGCATTCTGTGATTCTGAACCCTAACTTGGAAAGGAGGAAGCTATAATGGGAAGGCGCTAAGGGGGCGTTTGGTATAGGAAATGTTTTTTTTTACCAAAACAAAAATTTGCTAGAAATATGATGGGAAGAATTTTTTGCCGGATAAGTTAAAAAAAAGTGTTTGGTAAGCCAAAAATTTTCCGAAAAAATTAGGTGAATTTTACTGATGTTATGTTTGAATTTTACCACCGTGAAGGAAATTTTTTTTTCCAAACCCCTTTTTAACTCTTTATCCTACCAAACATGGCCATGTATTTTTTCCTACCCTATTTTATGACTAGAGGAAGAAACAGATATAGATAATATTTTTAATTTTGATTTAATTTTAATGTGAGTATAATTTATTCTTGTATCTTTGATTGGCCAATGCCTAATGGTGAACCAGGATTGCATTCTGCCAATTTTTGATACCCGAGCAATTTGAAAAGATGCAAAGCAAAAACAACAGTTCAATGATAAAGCTAAAGGGACCACGATAACCCACTAAGCCAACTATAGCCACCCTTGTTTTGGTCTCCTAAAAGTTGAAACACAAGACAACAAGCGGGCTTTATATATTTGGGATCACTGCAGCGCCCACAATTGTATACATGCATATTGACTTAAGAAAGTTGATAAGAGAAAATGGATGTTGATTCTGCTGCACAAAATGGGTGGTTTGTGTTGAAGTACGTACGTGGACGATATTCGATTCTGTAATGTGCCAATTTTGATGTTACGTTGTTAAAGTGGGATCTTAAACATCAGTCATTTACTTCTTTTTTTAATTGCAAAAACAATCCATTAGTGGGTCATAACATAATCATATTTAATATCCCAAATAAATAATGTCGCAGTCCATTTTAATTCAAAATATCCAATGATTAGCTAGGGTTTCATTTCTCAAGTGAAACTTAAATGTTTCTTTCCCACACTCGGGTTTATCTGCCAAGTGTTTTTCTCTCTTCAAACGACCCCTTGAAACCCCACTTCATGGATATACGAATAGCGAGTTAATGTCGTGCAAGATGCATTAATTGATGCTTCATCCATTACAAAGACATAAACACTGCACTAACATCACCTTCTTAATTCGGCATGCATGTTATAGTAATGACATGTTAGAATTCGAAAACAGCATATATACAATATAAGTTAAATATAATTAATTGTGAGTGTGAAATATAATATTATTAAGCATATCTTTTAACATTATCTATAAATAACAATTTATTTCACATCCGTTAATGCAGTGTGTTAGAAATATATTGTAATTAGGGTTTTCTTATTTTGTAATTAGGGTTTCCTTATTTTGTATTAGGTCAGATTACATTAGGTTTGGGCTTAGCCCATTAGTCTGTTTATATATTGTACGGCCTTCATCAGTCAATACACACAGAAATATTTCAAATGTTCCTCTCTTTTCTCTTGTTATTTAACATGGTATCAAGAGCCTAACGAACTTTGAAATTTTTTTTTTTCTGGTGAACCCATTGTTCATCGTCGGTTAATTTTTTTTTTTCCGAAGCTGTCTCCTTGTCACTTTTCGGACGCTTCTCTCTCCGCATACAGCTTCTGTCTCGTCCAGAACCACCGTCCGGTCACCTTTTCCGGCGATCCACATACCGTCGTGATCGTCTCCGCCGCGCGGTTCCAACGCCACCGGTCTCGTCCAATTTCAAGGTCACACGCGCCCTCACGCGCCCTCACGCGCGCGTGACAGTTCGACCACTATCCTTCACTCCGGCGGCGCGTGGAGGCCCCTCTCCGGCCGCGACTGGTTGCGATTTCTCGTCTCCTTGCGTAGGTTCTGGATCTGGTCTTGTTTTGGTGTTTGGACCTCTTTTTGTGTTGACGCACAGATCCCTCTTCTACCGGTTAGTTTTTGACCTGTTCGTTCTGCTTTTTTCCTTTGATTATGGACACTCCTGTCTCCAATGTTTCTGTTTCTGGGACTCCGGCGGGACAAAAGTCAGAGTCTACTATTTTCTCAAATTATATCCTTGCTCCGTTGAGTGTGGATAAATTGGATGGGTCCAATTATGATGTTTGGTCTTCCGATCTGCGACTCTGGTTGGATGGGGAGAATTATACATCTCATCTCACCACTAAGGCTGAATCTGTGGTGGAAAATGAGCGCACATGATGGAAGATGATTGATGCTCAGTTGTGTAGTCTCATTAAAGCTACTCTTCATCCGTCTATCAAGCAGATTTTTCGACCTGCTGTTACCTGTGAAGCTATTTGGAGTCAGGCAAAAGCTTTTGTGACTTGGTGGTCTGAGAAGCAAACATCAGGTCCTACTGCATCCATTGCTCCCACTGGTAATTCTGGTAATTCTTTTGCTGGCATATCTCAGTTGCACTCTATTGGCCCTTAGACTCTAGATTCTGGGGCGTCTTATCACATTTCTGGTAATAAGTCCTTATTCACTTCTCTTTGTACTACTGGTTCTTTTCCCACTATTACTATGGCCAATGGGTCTCTGGTCCAATCAAGGGGGATTGACACGGTTTTTCTTTTACCTAATTTATCTCTGGATTATGTTCTATATGTTCCTGATTCTTCTTTTAACTTACCTTCTATTAGTCGGTTGACCAAATCCATTGACTGTGTTGTTTCTTTTACTAAAACCTCTGTCATCTTTCAGGATCGGAGTTCGGGGAAGGAGATTATCAAAGGATGTGAGTCCTAGGGCCTCTATCAACTAGTTCCCTCTTCTTCAGCCTGCTCCACTGTGGATTCTCCTCTTACTATCCATGCTCGTCTGGGCCATCTTAGTCTTGCAAAGCTTCAGAAAATGGTTCCTCATTTATCGTCTCTTTCTACTTTAAATTGTGAGTCTTGTCAGTTTGGGAAACATACTCGTAGTACATTTTCGAGTCGTCTTAGTCGTCAAGCTGTTTCTCCTTTTTCTGTGGTCCACTCTGATGTTAGGGGACCAAGTCGTCATTCTTCTACTTTGGGTTTTAAGTACTTTGTTACTTTTATTGATGATTATTCCAAATGTACTTGGTTATTTTTACTGAAAAAGTGGTCTGATTTGTTTTCTATTTTTCAGTTATATTATAATGAAATAAAAACTCAATTTGGTATTCCTATTCGTACTTTTCGTAGTGATAATGTATGTGAGTACTTATCTCATCAATTTCAACAATTCTTTTCATCTCATGGCATTCTTCATCAAACATCTTGCCCTCATACACCTCAACAAAAAGGTGTAGCCGAGCGCAAGAATTGCCATCTGGTTGAAACCACTCGTGCATTGTTAATTGATGGTAATGTTCCATACACATTCTGGGGAGATGCTATACTTACTGCATGCTATCTCATTAATCGCATGCCATCATCTGTTCTCAATCATAAGGTACCTCACTCTATTTTATTTCCCCATCAAGCTTTATATCCTTTAACTCTACATGTGTTTGGTTCTACGTGTTTTGTTCATCATCTTGGTCCAGGTTTGGATAAATTAGCTCCAAGTCTCATAAATGTGGTTTTCTTGGTTATCTTCGGTCTCAGAAGGGTTACCGTTGCTACTATCCCACTTTACGTCGATACTTTATCTCGACGGATGTCTCCTTTTTTGAATCAGTTCCCTTTTTTAGAACCTCTACTACTCCTGTGGATACTGATTATGTACAGTCGTCCTTCCCTAGTGACCTTCTTTACCTTCCGTCTTTACCCGTCCATGTTTCTGACTCTTCTTCTATCACCTATTCTGCTGATGAGATCGAGCATAGTTCGTCAGATGTATCTGTGGACTCACATTCAACTGCATCTCCTCCCACGGCTTCGGTCCCACCTTCGGATAGTTACCTTCCCATTGCTCTTCGTAAGGGTACTCGTGATACTCGCCCTCCGGCCAGGTATACAGTCAATATTAGTTATCATCGTCTTTCTCCATCATATTTTGCTTGCCTTTCCTCTTTGTCCTCTGTATCTGTTCCTAAGACCACAGGTGATGCACTTTCACATTCGGGATGGAGACAAGCTATGATTGATGAAATGAGTGCTCTGCATCATAATGGCACATGGGACCTGGTGCCTCTTCCTTTCTGAAAATCTGTGGTTAGTTGCAGATGGATTTATGCTGTTAAGGTTAGACCTGATGGTCAAGTAGATCGTCTTAAAGCTCGCTTGGTGGCGAATGGTTTCACTCAGGTCTTTGGCTTGGATTTTATTGATACTTTTTCTCCTGTGGCAAAAATGTCTATTGTTCGCCTTTTTATTGTCATGGCTGCTATTAGCCATTGGCCTCTCTACCAACTGAATATCAAGAATGCTTTTCTTCATGGTGATCTTGAGGAAGAAATTTATATGGAGCAACCTTCTGGATTTGTTGCTCAGTGGGAGTCAGGTCTTGTTTGTCGTCTTCGTAAGTCTCTCTATGGCCTCAAACAATCTCCAAGAGCTTGGTTTGGTAAATTTAGCAGTGTTGTTCAACAATTTGGCATGACTCGGAGTGCAGCTGATCATTCTCTCTTTTATCGTCATTCTGCTTCTGGATCTATTTATCTGGTGGTATATGTGGATGATATTGTCATCACAGGCAGTGATCAGCATGAGATCACTCGATTGAAACAACACTTATGTCATCATTTTCAGACTAAGAATCTTGGGAAACTTCGATACTTCTTAGGAATCGAGGTGGCCCAATCTAAAGCTGGTGTTGTGATAACTCAGAGGAAATATGCTCTGGATATTCTTGAAGAAACTGCTCTGTTAAATTCAAAGTCTGTTGATACT